TATATGAGATTTTGTGCGTTCATAATGTGCGGAATCATTGTCATCAGAAGGACTCATTGTCATGGCTGAAAAAAGGGAATAGTTAACACGTCAAAAAAAAGAAGAAGAAGGAAATACTTGGCTCTTCAACAGATTATGGTAAATTTTTGGGCAGACTTTTTAAAATACGATAATTTAATAAAGGAAAAATTTTATATGAGTTCAAGGCTCTAAACAATCAAATTAGAGCGCATATCAAAAATTTCACTAGAAGAGGTTCCTTTAATGCCCAAATATCTTTAAATTGTTAATCTCGACCTCAAGATACATGTACACGAGAAAAAAATGGATTTAAAGTTTTGGAAATAATGCATCATGTAATGCATTTTTGGTGCGTCAATTTTTAAAATTTTCAAATTTTTATAGATAAGCTCGATCTACGCTATCTTTAAAGCTTTAATTTTATAATCAGTGATGAAAATATATTTTAAGACTATCACAAAGATTTCTAGTAGAGAAACCACATTTTTTTATACTACCTGAAGGTGCGCTTACTTTGATTTTTTTAGAGCCTCGGCTCTATTCAAACCACACCGATTAACAAAACATGTAAAGGTAGGCAGTTTTTCTAGACTTTCAATATAGGAAAAATTACATATTACCTTTCACACGGTTTCAATGCGGACAGCATGCGGGCTTGGCAATAATAATATTTTTTAAATATAATTTTATCCTAATGTTTAGATAAAAGACGTTGACAATCAGATACCCGAAATACAGGGTCAAGTTTATATCTTTTTAAATATATAATTTGATTTTAAAAAAAATTCTTTTTGTACTTTTCATTTTAAACTTTTATTTCTCGTTAGACTTAAAGTTTTAAAATATATCTCGACATGTAGGGATCCTATATATTATTTTTTATAATCCTCTATACTAACTTTACTCCTTTTTTATTTTTTTTTACCTAAACAAATTTTAAAAGGCAAATCTTTTATTACCCAACTCTCTCTACGTTTCTTTTTTTATTTCTCTCTAACCTCTTTTTCCCTTTACTTTCTCTCTCATCACGATTGCAGGGACTCGTTTTTTTTTTGAAGACCAAATTTTTATTTTATTTTATTCTAAAATTTCCTTTTTATTTGATTAAACCTATGAAAAATCCATCTATCATTTATTGATTCAATAAAGAGAAAAAGCTAACAAGAATAATTTTAGATTCATTACAGCATTATCATATCCCAGGAGAAGTTAAAATCCCAATGTAATTTTTCCCCATGGTAATAAGCAGTACCGACATAAGTGTAACAGTGGCTACTTGGACATCCACACGAGCTCTGATAAGTTTCTGAACCAACTGAGAATTCCCTTGCCTGAAACTGCTTAAGCCTACAGTAAGAACCCCTGCAGTTAAAAGTCCACCGATTGGTATGAGGGGGTTTCTGACGCGCTTCTTCTGATCGCCAAACAAGTCTTCTGTTTCCAAATGGGGGATCCCAGTCTCAGTCGAAGAACCCATCTTTCAAGTTTCACAGAGACACTGCTACACCGCTACTCATTACTCTCTCTTTCTGCTTTTTCCTATCCATGGAGTCCAGTTTCTTGCTTTATTATTCGTTTGTGTTCGAGGGTTGTTGTAGACATCCCACCATTTCTTAACCAGCATCTTTATGTCTTCTCTCTGCATGTTCTCTTCCTTGCCGGTGTACCTCCCTGGCTTCAACCCTGTTCCAACAAACACCACAATTGACCTTCTTCAGCTCCACATTTTCCAAATGGCCCCACAACATGGCCATAACCAGATTGTAAACCAGAAGAATCGCCGTGTACACATCTTTGAAGAATATGGTCAAGAAGTACTCAAAAAAAATTAAACCAACACAACCCATTAACACTTTTCATTCAAACCTAGAGAGAGAAACACACCCAAAATTGTAGAGTAACCTAGAGAGAGAAAGATACACAAAATTGTAGAATAACCTAGAGAGAAAAAACACACCCAAAATTGTAGAATAACCTAGAGAGAGAAACCCAAAAATTGTAGAATTTAAAGAGAGGCATAGATGGATCACCAAGGTGAGACAGCCATTGAACCTTGCCTGGTCACTGTTGGCAATACCCAATCTTGTATTGAGGGGTGTGAAAAACTTCTAGAAGTGATCAGACAAGATCAGTAGGGGGCAGAAAGAGAGTAGGGGATGTTTAAATACATAGAGAGAGAGAGAGGTTATTTACCCAAAAAAATAATAATAAAGAGAGAGTTGGGTAACGAAAGAGGTATTGGGTCTAGCGAGAAAGAAACTTAAAAGCAGGGGTACGAAGATATTGTCCTTTAGATTCGGACGTTTAGGTAGGGTAAGTGGTTTAAAAAATGGATCGGTGATCCGGATTAGGGTATCCCAAAAATCGATTTGGATCAGCGAATTGACGATTCGGATCGAGAAACGAGCAGAATCGTATAGATTAAGCTTTAAAAAAATTATTATAATTCATCATAAATATTATTTTTTAGGAATCCAATAAAAAATAGTGGTACTATATTATTAACTTTTATTGTTTTTATCAATTTATGAATATTGAGATGTTCTTTCCTTGTGTGACTTTATGTTGACCATTAAAATTACATCACACAAAAAAAATCATAGAATTATCATGAATTAATTATATAATCATATATAGACTACAATAAAGAGTTAACTAAATCGATGAAAATTTGGCCACTAAAATCTCAAATTGGCAGAAAACCCTAATCGGCTTAAAAAACCCAAATTATTACAACCTAACTAACTATAATATTATACCAACAATATTTTATAATTATTTTATTATATAAATAATAACAAATCCAAAATATTTTATAATACCATCTAATTTAAAATGTATTATTGACAACTGTAAGAAAAATAGTACACTATATGATTTATAATACAAAAATTAATAAATAAAATAAAAGATTTGGTTATCAATGTAGAAATTATTAGAATGCGTACCAATTTTTTTTAATTTTTTAGGTTTCTAGAATAAATTAGTAGAAAAGATTGTTAGCAGAAAGAGAAATTTCAAATGGCCTCATTGTATGATCCTATCTTTAAATTAATATTACTAAATTTATGTTAAAGACCATCATGTTATAAAAATAAAAAATATAATTAGACCATTTATTCCTAGGTTGTATTAAGAAATACCTTTTATTTTTTTGACAAGAAATACTTATTGTGTTATCTTTTATTTTTTTTTACAAGAAAAATAAGATACTTGTTGATTATCTTCTTTCTTTTTTTTTACAAAAGAAGAAGGCGATGTACTACATTTGTTTTTGCTTGTTGTATTACTTTTTATTTTTTTTACAAGAAAAAAAAAAAATGATGCTAGCAAAGTACATTTTATTTTTTTATGCCTTTTGCTTTATTTTTTTTGCAAGAAATACTTGTTATATTACCTTGTATTTTTTTTACAAGAAAAATAAAAAAATATTGTATTATAATTTTTATGTTTATCTTGAAAAGCTTTTTATTTTATATTTTTTCTAATTTTTTACAACAGTATTTTCTGCCTTTATTTATTTTTGTTGTCAAAATTTTTTTAATGCCTTTTGTTTTATTTTTTTGCAAGAAATACTTTTTATATTACCTTGTATTTTTTTTACAAGAAAAATAAAAAATATTGTATTATATTTTTTATCTTTATCTTGAAAAGCTTTTTATTTTTTATTTTTTAAGCTTTTTTTACAACAAGAAAAGCTTTTTATTTTTTCTATTTTATTACAAGGTTTTTATTCATTATCTTAAAAAAAATGTTATATTATAAAGGACAATGGGTAGGAGGGTTTGAACTCAAGACACCCGCTTGAAAATTCAAGGTTGTCAACCAATATCACCACATTGCTTGATGTGTTTTATTAGCAACTATAATATAATACATATTGAATCATCTTGCTTGAATGGTTTTTTGTGAGAATTATCCCACAACAAAGGATGAGAGACCTTTTGTTCTCTATAAAGTGCTGTGTACTAGTCATTCAGTCACACGTGTAGAAAAGCGAGGGGGGCATACGAGCGAGGTGAATTGCCACACGTGGAGGGTCTCGTGAGGCGGATACGTGTGAACCCAAAAATTTTCGGTGAGACTCGCGATTTTACTATTGGGAATCCAAAAATTTTCGGTGAGACTTGCGATTTTATTAGGAATCGCTCGGTTCTCTCTAGACATGGGCGATTCCGTATTTTTTCGTGGAACCGGCTCGGTAGCCGACAATTCCCGAATCGAACCGAAAGATTTTTTCATGAAACCGGCTTGATAGCCGACGAATCCCGAGTCGAACCGGGCGATTCCGGCTCGACTCGGCGAGTTTTCAAACACTGGGTAAAGCACATTGGGAATAAACAGGGTGCAGTTATCCTAAATACAGCGTCAAGCTTATCTAGAAAATTAGCATATTTTTTGGAGAAGGGAAAGATATATTGCAGAAGGCGTAGTCTTTTGCTAAAAAGGGGACACCAGCAGGAGCTGCACTTTTTGACAACAAAATTTTTTGATCTCTGTTACTCATGCCGATGGGTATTCTTCTAGAAGCAGATAGAATCAGCTCTCTACCAGACTGCCTCCTAGAGTCCATTGTCTCTCTCTTGCCTATAAGAGAAGCAGGCAGGACTTGTATTTTGTCTAAGAGATGGAGGTATGCATGGGCTTCTGCTCCCTCATTGAACATCACGGATGATACCGGCAACATCAACTTAGATTTAAACTGGTCTTTTATTGTTGAGCAAGCCCTTTCTCTCCACAACGGCCCCATTCTAGATTTTCAATTGAACACACGAGCAGGTCAATGTGATTTGGATCGATGGGTACCTTTGTTAACAAGAAAAGGCCTGCAAAAACTCAGACTGAGCTTCGATCGTCAGGTGAAAAAAGAAGTGAATGTCATTATTTTGATGAGTTATAGAATGCACACTTCTCTATTTTGTTGTACCTCTTTGGTGTCTTTGGACTTGAGTTGTTGCTCACTCAATCCCTCTTGCGATTACAAGGGCTTACCATCTCTCAAGTTTCTCACTCTAATGAGGGTGAGGCTTACTGACTCCATATTGGAGTCTCTAGTTTCAGGGAGTGGGCGGTTGGAGAAATTAGTACTATTTAACTGTGATGGCCTTTCCCATCTCAAAATTCATGCCTCCAGCCTTTCATTTTTATTTGTACAAGCCAAATTTAGTGCCATAAATTTGAGTAAAAGTTCCAACTTGAAAGCGTTTGTCGTAGTTCTCCACAAAAGGGATAATGCCTTTGCTTCCATGACCAACGTTCTGGAGGGTCTCCTTGGATTAGAGGTGCTTTTCTTTTATGATTCTTTTATGCAGGTAAGAATTGCTCCCAGTATTGTTCTAATGTATATTGATGGATTTGGATTTTTTTGGTGAGATTTTTTTTAACACTATCAGTTCTATAGAGATAATTGTACCTGCGTTTCTTGATTTTGTCGCAGTATTTTTTCAGAGGAGATGTTCCTGAGAGACTCTCTACCACTTACAATTATCTCAGGTTTTTAGTTCTGGTTTTAAATACAAACAAGATAATGGAGGTTAAGGGCTTTGTTTGTCTTCTGAGAAGTTTCCCAAACTTGGAATATCTCACAATTCAGGTATGCTTGATCATAAGCTCTCATTTAGCTTATACTTTTATTTATATTTTTCATACATTACTTGGTGCCTTTATATTTCTTGATTTCTTTTTTGGTTTTATTTTTTGAAGGTTTATTGCCATAGACAGCTTGAAAGCCAAAGTGATGGATGCTTTTGTGAAAACATGAATTGTCAATCTGGATCTTGGTTGAGTTGCCTTAGAAGAGTGAAAATAAGGCTGGGAGAGATTCGGTTGGAAGATATGGAATTAATTAAGTTCTTGCTATTGAACACCAAAGTGCTGGATAAATTCTTCATTGAGACTAGCAAAGGCATGGATCAAGCCATACAATTAAGCCTCGAAAAGCAGTTGCTCTTGCTTCCGAAAGCTTCTTCTCGTGCCAAGATCATATTAAAAAATTCCTGTTAAAACTTGCAAATTTTCGAAACCAAACCTCGTATTTGGTTAATTTTTTGAGGAAGAATGCTTGTTGCCTATCATCAATACATTTTAAATGATTATCATATTGATTGATAAAGTTTTCATCAATTTGAAATTTGTGCGCATTGGCTATATTTTGAAGCTGAAGGCATTTTTGGGGGACAGCATTTAGGTTCAAAACAGTTGCTTTTATGTCCCCAGCAATTTGAGATATGCTCTTCTATTTTAAAACATGCTATAACAACACATATATAATGCTATTCACCATTATACTGCTATCTTTTAAACACTCTTGTTGTATTCTGGTTATTATCTTTTGTCCAGAAACAAAAAATAGCCTGCAAGTTTAGGATTGCAGTCATTGAGAAGGATCATGCAACTTTTGGACAATTATGCAACTCTTTTGAAGCCACTGAATATAATTAAGGAATAGCTTCAAAACCATAGCAATTATTGCTTAGGGCAGAAAGTACATGAAAACAGATGGGTCAAATGTTATATTTTTGTTTTACAAAATAGTTTTGTATTTCAAAATAGAAAAACCTTTATATAAGGTTGCAACTTTAGAATGTAGAATTAAAGGAGCACCCCAAAAGTTAGTCATAAAAGGTTGTTTGAATGTTGGAAAGCCCTCTAATTTATCATCTGGACATCAAGATGCATGAATATGAAAAGAAATAAAGATGATGCATGAATATGAAAAGAAATAAAGATTTTGAGTAAGTGATAATCTTGCAACACATAATCTAGACCGTGCATTTTCAAGATTTTCATGTATTTATAGATCTACTTGATTTGAACCATTTTTAGTGTACACAATTTTATAATTAGTGATTAGTGATGAAAATAGATTCTCAATCCATCCTAAGAATTTTTTATATCAAAATTACATTTATAATAAAATTTAGATGTACACCTTAATTGGCTACAACTTTATGCAAACCACTTAGTCACGCATTGAAGATGAGAGTATGGACTGAGTGGTATTTAAGTGTGGCATTCTCATGTTTTATGTTCTTAGAACAAAGTTGAGAGTAAGATGAGAGCGTGGACTGAGTAGTATTTAAGTGCAGCATTCTCATGTTTTATGTTCTTAGAACAAAGTTGAGAGTAAGATGATAATGTGGACTGAGTGATATTTAAGTGCAACATTATCATGCTTTATGTTGTTAGAACAAAGTTGAGAGTAATGGTGCATGTACAGAGCACATGAAGGGTGGTGTAAAAGCTCATAGAGATAGAATTTAAGGGTGGTGTATGTAACAATCGAATTTAAGGGTAGTGTATTTAACAAACAGGTGATTGTTGGGGAGATCACAACCATCGAATTTAAGGGCGGTGTATGCGACTGTTGGTGGAAAATGCAACTCATCCCTATCTATCTCTACACTTTTTTCTCTCTGTAAAATTCAAGACTCTCGTGATGTACAAAATAGCCTTCTAGTTCGAATGCATAGAACTTAGAAGTGCACAAGAGAACCTTTTGTTTTTTTGTATCCCGGTGCGTAGAACTTAGAAGTGTGCAAGAGAAATTTTTGTTTTTTTGTATCCCGAGGTCGATTGCTATTTCTTGTTTACACATTTCTTATTGTCGGAGGGGATCGAATATTGTCTTGAGAAAATGTTGAGTTTGAAAATAGTAAGGGAATTCAACTAATTTGCTCGTATTTTTTGTCCCTTTTCACCCAAACAATTTTCCAACATCAAATCCTGGTGAGTTATTGAAAGAACTAATTTCTAACAAGCAATGAGTGTGGTGACCATTATGCATGATGCAAATCCACAAAAATGCAAACAATAGAAAAATTCAAAAGGTAAATTTACTATTGATCTTTTGTCTGAAATCTCTCTCTTTCTCTCTCTCTTGTTACAAGAAGCTTTAAATGGTTGATTAACTAATTATAGTGAGTAACTATTTTTGCTACATTTGAGAGACAAATTTTGTTAACATTGTTAGGAATGTAGGAATATTCTAACATTTTTAGAACCACACTAACACTAAAGCGTGAATTCAGGCCAAATACACCGAGTTTGTCGCAGCAATTATTCCTTGTGACCAAGCTCACCAAGCTCTATGACCTTTGCAAAAAACTCATTTGACTCCGTAGCACTCTCACACAAAGCTGAGATAGATACAGTAGATTAATAAATCAGGAAGTTAGAAAAATTAGATGATCATGATCTAAATATTCAAATATACAACAAGAATTTGTAAAACCATTCAAGAGCAAATCAAGCCAAGGCTTGTGATAACTACATTGCAGTAGAGCAGGAGATGATTCACGCCATCAATTCACGAGCCATGGCCATGGGATTCAGAGTAGACACTTTGAGTTTAATTATTATGGTGATTAAGAGGGCAACATCATCAAAAAAAAAAAAAGGTTTTTAGAAGTCCCATTGGATTAGTTCGATCATCCATTCAACCTCAGAGATGGATATGGATGCTTTTCGATCATCCATTCAACCTCGGAGATGGATATGGATGCTTGAGGACCACCTTCGCCTAGGGAGACCCTCTAGGGATCGAAGCCAACTGGTTTAGGATCTTCCATGAAGAATATTCCTCAAATCCAACCATGAATGCATCCGACACTTTTGATGTTGGATAGCAAGAACCCAATCGATGGCATGTCGTGCTCGAGGCCTACAATATATTTTCTTTCTTCAAGTTGGAACTTTCATCCAAATTGATGTCACTAAATGCACTACTAAGATGCAAAGCTAGAAGACTTGGGGAATGAATTTTGATATGGTAGAGGCCGTCACAATCTTCTACTTTGAGGCACTCCAATCGTGGGATACAGGAAACTATGATCTCGAGTGCATCATCACATTTTGTAGAGAGAGGAACTTGAGAGATTGGAACCCGATGAAATCAGTCGGGGGTTCAAGGATGCACGAATGCAAGTCGAGCAACACCAGAGAGTTGTATGAAAACAAGCAAGGGGAAATTTTGTAATGATGAAGCTGATCGAAGTTGATGCTAAATTCTTGAAGTCCCGCTCTACTTACGAGGAAACGTATCCAACGATCAAGATCACTATGACTAGCATGTTTGGATATATGAAAAGTATGAATGGCTCCATGATGGAGTAAAAGGGCTCAGTCGACGGTCACAGGCCAACTGAATCTTATAGAGACAGGGCCTTTATCTGGTTTCTTGTTCATGATTGGAACAGATGACCAAACATCTCTAAATCTCTTGGATAAAATTGAGGTTCTTCCTAATTCTCTTATGGGCAAGTGAGACAATATTTGATAAAGGATATCATTAGAGAGATAACTAAACCTATCAACTCTTGGCCTTTTAGTCCTGGCCATTGAAAAAGCCAAAGATTCTACTTTTAATGAATTTTTATTTTGAATCAGTAGTCTCTTTAGATGTTTAGGACCTCTCTATAAAAGAAACCTCCCTCTGAGAAAAACTGAAAGGTAACCTGTCTTTCTAAGAGTAAGCCCTTCCTTATTAGACCTTTGAGATTAAAGAGGGATAAACTAATTCAAATGACCTTGGTCTTGCTTTTTATAAATTGTTTAAATGGTCTTATCTACAGATGTTAGAATCCTAGTTCAAATTGGAAACTAAAATCTTTCTATTTCTCTCATCTACTTCAATGTGGATAAGAAAAGTCCATAATATCTAAGAGTATTTTTAGGACCTAAAATTTTTTGAAACTAAAATCTTTCATTCCAGGTCCTCGCTTTGGCCAATAACACGATGGAGTCTGTTGGGATCTAATTAATTTTTGCATTATCTTTTGAGAACCTAAGATAAAGATCTTTTTTACCATGGGAAATCCTTTTTGTTTCCATTAAATTTTCATAAAGAATCCTATTAATTTTTCATAAAGAAGCCTATTAATTTGAGGAAGACGCTTTTACGATAGCGTGATAAGAAGCTTGCTTATGGATTTCTAGAAATATCCCGTATGAATTAATAAATTACGAATTGGAACACGTAGGAATGAAATAAATAATAATATAAATATGTAATAAAAAGTAAATATAAATATTATTATAAGAGAAATGATCTTATATGACCTTTCTCTATCTATATGAGTAGGACTTCAAAGGATCAACATTAAATTTGGTGCAGATCTCTAAACAAGTTAAGTCTCACAGCAATGTGATAACTTTTTTAGAGATTTGTGCCAAATTGAATGGTGATCCTTTGAGGTCTTACACATGAGTGAGAGAAGGTCCTATAGGATTATTACTCATATTATAAACATATATGTAAATAGATTGCCCAAACCTTACAAATATAAGCTCATCCAATCAACGAAACTGCCTCTCTCGCACAAACCCTGCAAATATAAGCTCATCTGTCCCTCTCTTCATCGCTCTCATAGAAGCACCATGAACCACCTGTAACAGTCATTAAACAAAACCAAATCTTTCTCTTACAAACCTATCAAACAAAAACACCACTCCCTCACTCTCTATCTCCAAAACCAAGAAGCCCCACCATCATTGAACCCAGCCTAACTCAGTTGACACTCTCAAAGACATTATTTTGCAAATAACAAAAAAGAAACAAATATATTTTCCTATTTTTTAAAGTTAAGAATCTTCAAGTATTTATGTAATTATAATAAAAATTAGTAAAAAATGTGCTAGAGAGCAAATATCCATAAATTTAAAATTGAAAAATTGGAAAAACACATTGAAATATTTTAATTTTTCCTAGTTAAATTATAAATGTAATAAATGTCAGAGAACACATACACATAAAGAAAGTTATTTAAAAATAAAAAATTGTTATAAAAAATAAAAATACTTGTAAAAAAAAATAAAGTAACTAAATCAAAGCCATTATTCACAAAATAATATTGTTTATACTGTTACTAATAATTTCTTTTAATATATAGGATTCACACATGTGTTTTTATTAAGCATCACCTGAAAGCCATGAAAATTTTCTCAATTGAAAACAAAAAATTAAGAAATAAATATACGTAGATCTTGAAAATTATTAGCAATGA